CTCCCCCGCGGAGATAAAGAGTTAATATCGTCATCAGGCTCTAAGAATGTCATCACTTTCAACATCGTAATATTGTCATCAGCCAGTAATTCTAAGAATGTTATCACTTTGAAAGTCAGACAAAACACACCAAACATTCCCAAATACCTGAGGAGATGTCAAAATAGGTAGTGTCAGTCAGAGAATAAGTGACGGTGTCACTCGGTCCATCGTTGCTACTGGCGACAGCGGTGTAGAGGGCAGTGCTACTGGCTGTGTCTGCTTCACTGACCGTAAAGGCGAAGCTTCCACTCAAGGTGGGGTCATTATCGTTGAGGTCAGAGATTCTCAGGTTGACCGTCACTGTGGTACTCAGCACAGTGGCCCCATCGTCTTCTACCTGTGGCGAGAAATATCTACAATTTTTTCCTAATAGGCGTAAGGAATCTTGGTCTACCCCTGTCTCTTTTGCCCTCTATTCTTCCTGTCAAAGTAATATGTTCAAAGTTTTCATGTTGATTTCATGAATTTCCACTCACTGAAGGTTCACCCTATCTGTTGAGATAATCATACAGTGTTTGACCCCACGTTACATAACACATGTGATCAGAAATTAGATTTTGGGAACATTTTGGAGCTGGACCATCTACTTATGTGCCCAATACCATCAACATATAAAAACTATATTTAAAACCCCACCTTGATGAGTATAGTGTGAGAGTCAGCATTCTCATAATCCAGAGCAGTTGCCACAGTCACCACACCACTCACATCAACTGCTGGTGTTATTGTATTGGGGGTGGTACTGAGAAAGATCGAGAAGAAGAATCAAATCATTACCAGAGGATAAATTGCAACCACATATTCATAAACATACTAGCCAAGTACGAGTTTGTCATGTATGCATATCATGAAAGCAAAATATAAAAGACACACAAACATCTCACTGTTTCCGTCATTGTACCAGTATCTAAAAAATGTAGAACTTATTTTCTTGAGAATATTATGTGCTACAAACTGCAGTCAGTCATTCATACAAATATGCTGGTATATGGATGTGTAAGGCGTTAGTATATCATGAGTGTGTAACATAGTACATGCTTGTGTAACATGCTGGTACAGGAGTGTGAGTGTGTAATGTATTGGTACATGAGTGTGTAATATGTTATACATGAGGGCGTAATGTGGAGATATAATATGAGTGTGTGCTGAGTTTGTACACGAGTGTGTAACATGTTGGTACATGAGTGTGTCTCGCCTCACCTAACAATGGTGTAGGACAGCGTTGTGCCTGGATCAGCGTCGGAGCAAACTAAGGTCGTGATGGCCGTCTGTCCCTCCGTCACGTCCACGTTGACCACACTGGTACACAGAGGGGAGTTGTCGTTGACGTCATCAACAGTCACGGTGACCGTCGTCAGAGCTGTGCGCACTGGCACACCATTGTCTGCAGGTTAAACAATCCATGGATAAAATTCCTAAAAAGTGCTGTTTATGTCTTGCTACAGTAAACAATTTCATGTATCTAAATACAACTTTAAAATGCTAACCTTAGGGAGACCACATTTGTCTTCTATGCAACATGAATAACATTGCAAGAAACAAAATCCGCTACATTTGAAATGGCACTTGTAACACATCACATCATCATTTATCCTTAGTTTATCCTTTATGAACTATTTAAATTTTGCTACGTAATATTCTGTCCACTTCTAACAACCACAAGAACAAATTATTTAGAAACGAACCTTGTCCCTATTCCTTTCCCTTTGTCTTACTTGACAGTGAAGCAATTTAACAAAGAGAAGCTGTAAACACCCAACACAAACAAGACTAAACCACGAGTACCAGAAGTAAACAAACTTGAACAAGAAAAAGCTAACAAATCTGTGAGAATCACATGTCATGATAATGAAATCTGAACAAAAGAAACAGCTAGCTGGAAAAAATACAAGAGGGAAAACAAACCAGATGCTCTGATCTGTAAGGTAAAGGAGGTGTCTCCAGCGTCAAAGTCCAGGGTCTGAGCCAGCCTGACCTCGGCCTCGTTCCCGTTCTGGGTCAGTGTGAACTTGGTCTGGACGCCCACAAAGGCAAAGCTCAGGTCTCCATCCAAGCCAGTGTCCTGGTCACTTGCTGTGGCCTACAGACCAGAGGTGAACATGTAGCATTTTGCTTGATTAAACAACAGAAATAATATGGTTTATTAGTCAGTACCCCACAGCTTTTTGTCCTAATAGTCACACAAACCATAACTAAATTTCTGTGCCACATCTTTTCCATAGCAAAATAACTAATTGCTTTATCAATATTGGGAGGCTGCCAAAACAGGGCAACCAACTGATGGGAAATGAAAATATTCTATAAAAGTGAGTCTGATAAGACATTTTTTAAATTTCTAATCGAGTCTTCCTGCTGTTAAGAAATACCAGTAGTACAGCCATACCAGACTATAAAATACCCCAGGTAGCCCACCATCAGGGTAAATCCTACATAAACATTAGAGCAACAATATTATGATTTCCAAAAGTACATACTGGCTGCCAAAAAAATCCTCGGCCTTTTAGACCGCATGTAACTACTGCATGAAATTTACTGATAACATTGTCTAAATGTCTTGTATCAAAACTAATCTTATGTATTGTGCAATAGCCTGATAATTTCAGGAATCCAGATATACGGATTCATCCCCCCAAAAAACAACCACGGAACCTCTGAATTTCAGGTTTACAATGCAAACTCCTGCTTAACTAATGTGGGCGTGTCACAAGCTATAGTTACCATGGCGGAGCAAAAAAAAAATAACAATGTTTTTAAAAATTCTCAGATTCTCGACAAAATTAATGCAATCAGTAAACTGACGAGAAAAATAAGACAACTAATCAGACTCCAACTGACCGATACAATTTTATCTCCTACAGCAAACTGGCTCTCAGTAATGGTGACTGCGTAAGTGGCCGGGGAGAACACGGGGTCATGTTGATTGTCGGTAGTTACAGACACCGTGACCTGAGCACTGCCGGTGAGGGCACCTGCCGCACCACCACTGTCTGAAACATCAGATAGATGAAGGGGTTATATATAAAGTCAGCACATATACGAGCCATTTTTTAAAATGAAGTCTAACAGTAAATCCCACCCCACTAAAAGCACAAAATAGCCTGCGTCTGGATTGTATCCAAAAAAAGGTGTGGGAGGAGGAGGGGAGAATGAAAAGTGGTCTCTTGTACAGGTGAACAGGTGTTTGTATAACAGGTGTTTGTATTGGACTGGTGGTCGCTAGAGCAGGTTTGTCTATTATTTTGAAACCAGTCTACTTACCAACAGCAAGAACTGTGAGGACATAGGACGTAGTACCAGCGGCATCAGCATCAAGGACAGCAGTAGTGGTAATCTCGCCAGTAGAAGCATCAATTTGAAAACTGGAACTCCCAGCTGTGGATATATAATATTCCTTTCAAAGACAATCTGACTTTTATGATAAAGTTGAAATGAAATACTTACACACTGTATCAAATAAAGTTATAACGTTTTGACAGAGCAGCTGCGGCATTGTTGTTTTCAGCGAAATAACAGACACAATAATCATCACAAAAAAGTTTCATCACAATCATATATCTGACTGGACGAACATCAAGAAATAAAATTCAGTGCACACTGTCAATCAGAGTCATCTGACTGAGTTGGGCTCAGCCAGATTTTCCTTCATGGAGGAGCAAAAGCTGCCACTTAAACGCAATACAACTGATTGCGACTCACATCATTAAAAAACAAAGATGTTTGATTTTGAACATCACAATCAAATTAACTTGATATCGGTGGTATTGTGCCAAAAAATTAGCTATTACCGCATCCATGAAGGACAATCTGGCCGATCCCAAAACAATTCATTTGAGCGGAAGAGGGTTAGGAAAGGAACAAACTATGATACGAAGAATAAGAATAAAACAACCTAGTTCACACAAATCTAGTTGTACAATGAACAATAAGGCTTGTTCCTGGTAAACAACAGGAATGTAATAGCATCTCTACAACATTATCAGAAAAAAAGTTTTCTGTAGAGAATGTGCGACACATCCAAAAGTGATGTAGACAGAAATATGTTTACATAGAGTGTAAGAAACAGAGTAAATATTTCACATAGAGAATAAGAGTCAAGAAACATTATACTATCTTCATATAGAACAGGTGACAGTTGGTACGTACATCTTACATTAAATATAAAGAACAAGAGACAGAAAACATGTTATCTTTCATAGAAAATAGGAGAAAAATATCTTACACAGAGAATAGGAGACTGATCCATAACTGCTGGTGAGTGGGTCATCCAAGTCGTTGGCTGCGACAGTGAGTACAGTGGTACCTGAGGCATCAGTTTCTGAGACGGATGCACTGAAGATAGACGCAAACCACTAAAACATCTAATATGCAATCAAAATTCTACAAGATGATCATCGATTGTCAAGGAGAAAAGTGGTTGTCTTAGACTGGTGGATGTCTTGGACAGTGGCCGTTATAATATTATACAAACATGTAATGTGGAAAATGGGAAGGGGTCGTTTTGTACAGGTAATTGTCTTGTACAGGTGGCCGTTATAGCAGGTTCAACTGTCCTGTGAAAGCATCATAACAAATAATGGTCCACTTTCAGACCTAACTTTCATCTGCATCTGTTGTGTAGTTATTAGATTCTAGGCACTTCACTGTTGCATGCAGAATACCTGAGTTTGATTTTGAAGAGGGAAGAATTTTTATAGATAATCTGTCTTTCTCTTAGGACTCTGTATTCCTCTCAGTCAAGGTTGGCACTGACAGGCAAGGCCAAAGCCAGTCTCCATAATGTATCAAAATTGTGTTGACGGAAGGCTTTAAAACACCTACAATAAAAAAAAAAACCAGACTTTCTCTAAATGAATAGAAAGCTTGGTTCTCCAGTCTATGTCTGGATCGATAACAACAACAACAACAAGGAGGACAGAAAGACAACAACAACTCCAGTTTATGTAATCTACTACAGTCAAAAGATTTGTGAGGATTAGTGAGAGTTTGTGTAAAACGTATCCTCCCCAACCCATTCAAGGCTTCTCAGCACATCCAAAACTGTATTGGACAGAATACTAATCTGAGATTCCTATGACGTCATATTATAATTCTGCACAATGAGATACTTCACTACCATTAAGCTGTTCAGTTTTGCAAACAATGTGTCGCTTACCATTTTGGCAAACAGTGAACGCAGAAAAACATTTAAACACTAAGGAAATGGGTGAAAGGGAAAGATGACGGATAGGGAATGCGGAGAGATCAGGACAACATTAGGTTCTTTGAGAGCATGCGAGCAAAGAAAAGAAAGGCAAACCATGAGCACCACTGTCTGTTTAGGATGTTGCACTTCATGATGAAGATAAAGAAAGATTTTGTACAACTGCAAACAGAAGTCCTACAAATACTTTGAATACCAGAATCAAATAGAAACGTAACTAAAGTTTACAATGACTCATCATTTAAAAGACGACAATTTACAACGACCCAGCAATAAAAGGTCTACAAAAGACTGGAATAAAGCCTTATAGGTCAATACCTGTAGGAAGTGGTCGTGAAGGCCGGACTGTTGTCATTGCTGTCTAAGACAGTCACAGAAACGGTGGCTGTGTTGAAACCTGTAGCATCTGCCGCTTTGACTATCAGAGTGTGTGTTGTGGCAGCTTCTCGATCCAGTAGCTTTGCAATGGTAATCTGATAAGATATGGAAATATAATTGCATTGTTTGAAAGAAATAAAATTACTGAGCTAAACTGTTAAAAAAAAGAAAGGCAAATGCTTATCTTTTCTTATCTTTATGAGTAAAAGAGTTGGATACATAAAGTAATAACAATGGAATTATTTTCTATTCATTCTGTATTGCTTTCATTCAACACAATATAATTCAAAATAATAGAGACAAAGGCCCCCATGTCTATATCAGACTCAAATATCATGTTCTACAATTTTAAAGAATACAAAATGTAACATTTCATCAAGTGAGAATCGGAAAAGGTTAGGAAGAGATGTTTGTACCTGTCCTGAGCTCTGGTCAATGGCAAAGTTGGCGTAGGTGGAAGCGAAGCTGTACTTGATCTGTCCGTGCTGGTCCAGGTTAATGTCTGGGTCTGAGGCAGACACAGTGGTCACCAGTGTGCTCACAGCACTCGCCTCGTTCACGTTAGCGTTGTACACAGCTGGAGTCAGTGACGAAGGAGTAGGGGGGATGTGTGAGGGAAGGGAGAATAGTTAGAGGTACAGAGAGTTTAGCTCACAGCATTTTGCCACATTCATGTCAGCATTGTACACAGCTATAGGTAGGGGAAAGAAAAGTGTTCAGTTTAGTTTAGTTTTTATAAGAGATAATATATACGGCACTTGCAACACTGTTAGGTCATACAAGTGCTGAAGATTTGAGGTCTTTCTTGAGCGTAATATGCAAAGAAAAGGAGGGGAAATCATGAAGATAGATGTTTGATAGGAAAGAGGGAGCAAACCACAACAGTGCGCCTGCCTGTCACCCACAAAGAATATGTGAGAGAAGAGGGAATAGAAGTTTTATCTCAGAGCACACATTTCACTCATGTCGACATTATACGCTGCTGTAAATGTGCAACGGAAGAGAGCACAGTATTTTTAATATGAGCATATTACTGTGAAAGCCAAAAACGTTTATCAGGGGAAATAAAGCCAAAGAACGTATAATATAAGACAGAAGAAAAGTTATGAAGCATCAGGAATTGCTGAAGAAGAGTTAATTAAAGCAACCTGTTTAACCTGACGTAACAATATGGCTGTATACAGAGACAAAAGTGCAAACTGACTATGAACCCCAAAAATCTGAACTTTTCGGACCCCCTGAAAATGCATGCACAAGGACTCAATATTGACCACTCATATTAATAGTTGTAAAGCGCATAGAGCATGCTATATAGCATGGATTTGCGCTATATCAATGCAATTATTATTTATTTATTGTTTCGTATATCTTGTATCAAGAAGCAAAGCAAAATAAGGACAACTTCAGAAATCCAGATTTCTGGATTCCTCCGCAAAATTTGACACTTATGATACGGGGGAGACTGACCTGTGGCGAAGCTAGGCTGTCCCTCGTCCACACTGCCCACAGTGACTGTGCCCGAGATAGTTGTGTCATGAGACACGTCACCATCAGACACTAACACTGTCAAGTCATGAGTCTGTGTCGTGTCGTAGTCCAGGGCTGATTTCAGTCTTAGTTTGCTGCCAGACATCTGTAGAGGTGAGGGGTGTGGGGGTGGGGGGGGAGTTGGTTGGAGTGGGAAGGGGATTAGGGTGAGGAAGATGAGTTGAAGTGTGCGTGGTGGGGGGAGGAGACATCTTTCAACTAGGCGTTTCTCCAGTTCATCAGCTCTAAGATACAGATGACATGGTCGAAGACGAGGATAAAAGTAGTTGACTTAGACAGGTGGATGTTTTAATTTGTTCCATATTATTTTTTTAAACCCAAGGGGAGTGGGAAGTAGTCGTTTATTCAGGTGATTGTGATGAACAGGTGGCTGTCAGAGCATGACAGACTTTTTCTGTATTCGTTTGTTCACTTTATTCAGGTAGTGAACACTAATCTTCTAACATAACCCTTCCAGCCCTGGTCCCAGGCCCAGAAGGCCCATAAACCTGAGTTTTTTTGGTTCAAATGCTAGATTTACACCATGGCACATTGAGAGCCCAAAATCGGAAAGGCAGCACAACTCAGGTCCACGGGGTTAATACATTTGTAACAATACTACTAAAATAACAAGGAAATATTCACATTTAATAACATGTGCCACTGGAAAAGTACCTCCAACATCTTTCCGGCCAAAATCCTACAACCCTAGCACTCCATAAAATACGTTGGTCCATACCATTAAATCCCATATGTTATTGCATTAGTTACAAAATCAGCGAAAAAAAAACCAACAAAAAACATTCAAACATTCACATGTAACGAAACATATCGTCAGAAAGATGTCCAGAATGTAAAATTTTCCTGGGAGAGAAAGCTATTTCATTTTTTTAATCGAACCAACTTCATGTCTTTTTTTGTGCTTTTTTTTTCAACACTTAGAATTTGAATTTCAACAAAATATTTCTTGAGCTCATATGCAACTGTAACCAGATTAAGAAACAAAAATTACAACAAAAAATATTCAAAATTTTGGATATAGCACATCCAAATAGCTGACAAAGACTCCCACTTACCTCAAAGAGACTGGTGTCTCCAGATGTGATGGTGTAGGTAAGAGTAGTCCCAGCATCAGCATCAGTACAGCCAAAGTCCTTGATTTCATACGTGGCCACTTCATCCTCTCCCACTGTCTCTGCCAAAGTGTTGGGGCTACACACAGGAAACTCATCATTCTTGTCGCTGATGTTCACTACTTGAGTCACTGTTGCCGAGTTTGTTCCACCTCTCTCTATGGCCTGAGGACAGAGCCAAATGAGAAAATTTGGGCAAAGTGCCTTTTCAAGGGACACAAAGTCCGACCAAACTGAGCCTCAAACCCCCATCACCTCACTGTTACAAGTCCAGCCACAGGACACAAGATGCTTGAATAATTATTGATTAACAACAACAATAATATTAATAAAGCAATAATAATAATAATAATATTATTATAATAATTATAATAATAATAATAATAATAATAATAATAATGATAATAATAATAATAATAATAATAATGATAATAATAATAATAATAATAATAATAATTACATGACAAGAACAATAACAACAACACCAATAAAAGAATTATTATAATGCTGATAATGGTAATGAGGATTTCAATAAGAGACAGCATTTGAGAAGCATAGATCCTTACTCAAAAGAAAGCTCTATGCAAGAACATAATACAGCACGGAAACATTTCAGTACGTCCTAAATTTAAAATGGCAGCTATTATCATCTCAGCCAAGTAGGACCTATGACCAAAATTAAAATAATATGTTTTATCAAACAACATAATTGTTATAAAACCAGATTCTGTAAATTGAGCGTACTTGAATGACGAGATCATATGTTTGTTTCGTCTCAAAGTCCAGAGCCTTCCGGGTCTTCAACAGGGCAGTGGTGGCATCGATGGAAAACTGGCTGGAACTATCTCCTGACAGAATGCTGTACTGCAGGTCTCCAAACGATGGATCACTCCCATCTGGGTCTGTCGCAGTCACAACTGTACGAGGTGACCAAAACATAAGAAGGACAGAAATTACATTGCTTTCAGATCCATATTTCTAAGTGAGTGTCAAAATTTGGATTGCTTAAAGTTATCCATACTTGAAAGACTACTTTTTAAACAAGATAACATTTCAATTTAAAAAAAACAACTTTTTCCCTTGGTTATAATAATAATAGAAATAAGTTATCAGTTAGGGTAACTGAGCACAAAGCAGGACAGACATGGCCCTCTAACTGGTCTAATCCAAACTCTTGACGATAAAGTTGAAAAAGAAGGTGTTATTTTTTCAAAATAGGTCCTTACTCTGACAAAAAGGAGAAATACTATAGAGTCAAATCGTCCAAGACAATTACTCACTTTCAAGAAGAAAAGTGTTTGCCGTAGACAAGTGGACATTTTTGACAGAGTCATTATAATATAAAAGAAAAACACAAGAGGAGAAAGCTTTAAAGGAGAAGTGGTTCTTTGTACTGGTGATTGTCTTGGACAGATAGACACTAGAGCAGGTTCGATTGTACATTCATTACCTGCAACAGATTGCTGAACTCCGACATCTTCATCGATCGAGACAGCTGCGTACGAGGGAAAGGTCGGCCCTGCTTCATTAACATTATTCACGTTGACATACACTGTAACAGTAGAACTCTGGCCCGCCCCACCAGCATCGGTGACTGTGATGGTCAACGTGTGTATAGTGGACGTCTCATAGTCAAGGGTGTCTGATGAATAATGACACAATTAGAGAACTCTATATTTGAAATGGCTAAGCAAATTTTTAACTGAGTTAATAATACCCACAACGTTTAAAGGAAACTATCAAGAAGTTCTCCCTTCCTTTATATTTGTAAGTATCAACATTTAATTTTTTTTTTTTAAACAGACATTATCAAAAATATATCTTTCCAGTACGCCTTAAAGTATGGTACAATAAGAATTTTAAAGCCGCTCTAAGAACCGCTAAGAATAACAGTCGACCCAAGTTCAGACATTCTGTCTAAAGACTAGGGCATCCCCAGCCTGAAATAACCCCCTCCCACAATGAAGAATATGTTACCATTTAAAAGGTGCTATAAATCACGGATTCATACAAATATCTTGGTCTTACAATCGACAACAAATTTACATGGCAAAACCAAGTGAACAAAATCGTTAAAAAGGTAAATCAGAGACTGTACTTTCTGAGGAAACTTAGGTCTTTCAATCTGAATCCATCCATCATTCATATATTCTACACCACCAACACCAACATTAGAAACTTTGATAAATTTTGGTATCACTTGCTATGGTAGCAATTTGGGAAGGCAGCACATTATAAAAATAAGCAAATTGATAAGAAAGGCATCAAGAACAATTGGTAGAGACCTAAGAAACGTTGAATATCTGCACAAGACAAACGTTCTAAAAAAAAGGCGGAAATAAAGCTTAGTGACAATAGCCACCCACTGACATCGGAATTTCAATTATCGACCCGCAGTAAACGATACATTTCCAAAAAGGCAAGAACAGACAGATTCAGAAATTCATTTGTACCAACTGCAGTGAGGTTACTGAATATACAGTGCAACAAATGAAAGAGAGAGAGAGAGAGAGAGGGAGAGAATGGGTAGTCCCAGCATGTGTTTCATGGGCGTAATGTCCTGTCTTGTTGTGCGTTTGCGTGCGTGCACCTTAGGGTCTAACTTTTGTAACGTCTACTGCCATTGTTAACGACCAAGACAAATTTTGTTAACGACTAAGACAAATTTTGTTAACGACTAAGACAAATTTCTCCCTGCAAGATGAATAAAAATTGTCATTGTCATTGTCAAAATAAATAAAATGAAATACTTCAGTGGTCCAGAATTCCATCTCTACCCTCATTATCTATTTTGCCTAATCTCTACCTGATAAATAGTTGCACCCAAAAAAAGAGGAGAAGGTGAACGTTATGATATCTACTAGATGTTTTTACTAAACATAACGATAGGCAAGCCCTATAATGAAGAATGCATCTACTCTAACACACACATACACTAGAAAACAAATAAGCGCATATAGCTATAGGCCTATCATCAGTAAACACATTTAAATGCCGGCACACACTTTCATATATACACATAATATTAATATGTCCTTGATTCCCCAATCTGAAAAACAATACACAAAACCACAAAACAGAGAACAATAAAACACCCCCC